TGATTTATTTCAAAGACTGAAAATTTATTCACACATGTTCATTTGTCAGTGTAGGCTTGTTGGTCGCCCATCTTCTGGTAGCGCTGTCGTTAGGGCGTTTGAATCAGATCCCATGGGTCCTGAATTCGAGCCTGATTGTATCACTAGTTTTTTCCTTCCAAGGTTTGTAAATCAAACAGAAGACTACACACTGTGCCTACCAGATATCTGTGTCAAGTCTGCCTTTGAAATATGGGACTCCTGATGTATGGTGTGGAAATGGAGATCAGTGCTCTGCCATTAACTGTATAAAAGGAATGGCGCCAGACGTGACTCCTTCATGAAAGTGTGAGGAAGACTGAAATTTTAGCAGTGGTTGCAAACCTTCGTTCCCTTACCTTTTTCTTTTAGAATCGTAAACTTTAAAGTGTTGGAAATTTCGGCATCATGCCAACAAGGCGTTTGTGGTGTTTGGTTTTTACCTTATGTCCTAAGGTTTATTTAGTCGCAGATAAAACGTTTCAGTACATACGTTATCGTTCCCTGTTAAAATGTGGTTGGGCGTTACCGCGTCATGAAAGTAAGTTTTGTAATTCAATTTTAGAGGTATAGTGCATAAAATAGTTTCTATTTCTCTCTAACTTCGAAGTTAAAATCTCTGTCAGAAGCTATTAATTTTTAAGACTGATGTAGGCCTGTTATTCCTGATTACTATGATTTTGCTGGCCTGTTGTTTTCTGACTGATAAACGTGCTGTCGTTGCGACTGAGCAGAATATTCCTCAGCTCCTTGATCGGTCCTCGTCATAATTTGCATGATTTGACTATATACGATCACGGTGCACGTGTTTGTCTGTCCTTTGCGATATCTGGAAAGTGCCTACTTCTTGATTGAAAATCTTGGCGTAAGGTATAGGCAGTTTTGTTTGATGTCTGGTTTAAAGCTCAGAAACGTTGTCTGTTGAACTTTATACTTGATGATTCCAGTTACGGTTAGTGATTAAAATTTGGCAGTGCAATTAGTATTATAACCGTTAGTTAGGAAATTCAAAAATTTTTTATTAGTACTTATACTGAATTACTATACTTACGATATGTGCTGTGCTGACAGGGACTTTTTTAAAACTCAGACACGTTGCTTTGCAATTCTGTCGGTAAGAAAAACTTAAATTTTAAGTTTGCACTGCGATATTTTTGGAAGCGTTAATACCTCTTTAGGGTATTCCTGTGATACTCAGTGGTCGAGATATCATTGGCATTGCGAAGACCGGAAGTGGCAAAACCGTCGCTTATTTGTGGCCAGCACTGGTTCATATCATGGGGCAGGTAAGTCACATGCGAATCGTCTCTTTGTTACAGTCAGTCCATAATTCAATAAGCGGAATGTATTGTGCTTCTGCTCTTTCGTTTTATACCGGATTTTTCACTTGAACTGGAAGTAACCACTAGTGTTGTGACCTATAGGTTTGAGGTTTCGACGTCACGGATGAAAGGACTTTTCTGGACGCTAAAAGTTTATTGTTTGAGCAAGGTCGATGAAAGATCTTGCTTTCCAACATACATTAAAAGCATACGTTCAGAATAACGAATGAAATGAATATGTTGCTTGATGCTCTAGGTTTTGGTGCAAGATATCAGGTCTTCTTCAGAATACAAAGAGATTTAAACATAGTAGTATAAAACAATTAGTTACTACATAACGGTTCAGTGAAACTGTAGAGCAGCTTCAATGCTCTTGATGTATCATATGCAAGCATACATTTATTGCTCTACCGGGTGTTATTTACTGCGATGCGCACTGACTCTGATAGATAGTTTGAGTTTGCTATTCTCACGGCTATATTTGAAACCGTTTGCCAGCTGACGATTATTCTTTAAGGCTGAGGCAACGAAACCAAAGTATCCTGGACGTTTATGGGCGATAAGTTTCTTGTGATCATTTATCAGAACTTTAAGGATCGTGAATGCTTCTCAATATAGACGGCAGTACATTCATTACGCTCTGTGCTGTAAATTACACTGTCTAATAGCACGTATTGAATATATTCTAATTTCATATAAATTAAGGTGCCTCGGATAAATCCTTCCACGATGAAAAAGGCATTCAGATCCTGTTTTTTTTCAGAATGATCTCTGCTGATGTTTCAGAGAAGAAAGGAATGATGACAAAATTGTTAAAATTGATCACTGGAGATGGTTCTTGTTTTGCGTGGTTAAATGCAGATTTTATTGATAGGACAAGAGCATAACCGTTACTACGGAATGAGATAGAATATTTTGTTTATTGTCTTGTGCGTTTGTTCAGATCGTTCGTTCCCTTGAGCCGTTAGCATAAGCAGAATGTCTTTAGTTGATGACGTCCGTTGTATTTGCAGCTTTTCAACACTTTTGTTATAAGGTATCAGTTACCGCATCGCATATGGAAATATTTCTCTTCGAAAGCAGATCCTCCTGTACCTTGTTCTTCCATGTTCCATTTTGGCCTTCTTGTTGAAGTGTGTCATGTTAAGACTCTCAGACAAGAAGTTAATGAGCTGGAGTAATTTGTTTTCACTCTAGCCTGATAGTCATCTTTTTTGTCTCTACATCCGGAGTTCACCCTTGAACCTCATTATGCATCAGCACCAATATTGCTGTACACAGTTCAGCCGTTTTTATTTGTTATTGCTACTTCGTTAGCACAACCATCTCCATGCCGTGCAACAACACTCACCTCACAGAGACAAAGTACGGGCAGATTTTTGTGCAACGAGATACTCTTTACTCAGCCTAAATATTGCTCAGGTTTCCAAGAGCACTGGACTTGTTTGGCAGTTCTTCAGCAAGAAACCCGTCATTATAGCAGTACTCTACTGCCCCGAAGCGCGAACACTATGTCATATTGATAAGGACTGAGTTTTGCGTGTATGAAGGCCAGATTTAAATATTATAGGCATCATAAGCATTAAGCAGTATTCGCAGTACAAGATGCCTTTAAAATGTGGTTGCCAAAAATATTTTGTTATTTGTTTTAAATAGGTATGGATGGATTGACAGGCAGTGTCCTATCCGGAACCAGTACTGGCATAACTGTGCATTGAGTTGTGATGAATCTCATTCAGGAGTGAGAGGTCGCATCTTGTGTAATTGCTTCGATTCCATGTCTCGTTTCGATGACGAGCCCTTGGTAATGGCAGGTTCATGCTTTACATTGCGAAGGAAGCGGGAAATTATTTCGCCGTAATGTCTAGATATACGTAAAAATATGGCAGTGGATGCAACTTTATCACAGTGGCGAACGAAGAAATTTATGCTAAAGCCCATCGTGGCATTCACCTATCTGGTGGCCATTCTGAACTGATCAGATAAGTCTCCACTCGTATATTTTTTTTACTATTTCTGTTAAGCTAGTGTTAATTCTGTAGCAGACTGCAGTAAGATGAACAGACATGATGGAACATTTGTAATCAGTTTGGTTTGGCTATGGCTGCTGTCTGGCGATCAGCTCTATTACCTCATTAAAGGTTGGTTTTTAACTAATCATTGGTTGGCCTACCGTACTGTGGATTGGAGTATTTTCTTTGTGGATGTGTGATCTACGAAGCGGTTGTTTGAATTGAAATTACCGCTTAATCTCTAGAAACGAGGAATCAGTATGATTCCGTCATGTAAATGATCGGATTACCTACGTTTAATAAATGACTACTATAAATTTTCGTAAGATATAAACCTTATTTAAAGCCATACCTTAGCTGTGAGAACATCCTTTAGAAGCACTTTGTACTGACAATGGTAAGTATGGCAATGCAACTGATTGTCAACTTATTTTTTGCCAGAATTCTTTCATTTTCATGTTTTTTATTGTACAGTATTTGTAGATTTTCGTTCATCATTAGTGAGTCGTTTATCCTCTCGAAAGTAGACAGCACAGTGGAAGCATTCCACTTTACACCTTTTGGGATTTTTATGAGGCACCAAGGTTGAACTACAAACAGGATTTAAAAGATCTCATCTGTGCACATCTAACTACTATCACAGCTATCATCATCCTTTTTCGATCTACCGGTGGGTGAAGGCGGCCTTGGTATCTCTAAGATTTTGCCATTTCTCTCCATATCGATCGAACTATTTGTCAAGCTGTTATTCAGTGAACTTTTTTTCTGCAGTTTTTTGCTTTTAGTTTTGTTAGTCTTATTTTCAACAGCTCAATATCCCCTCAAAATGAAATCAGTGATAACTGTACGTTGCTATCATTGTTTATTATGCAAATTTTTACAAGACGATAAGCTTTTTACTTTAATTCACTGTCATTTTTATGATATTAAATTTTCGGTTGCTGATGTTCCGTTAAATATTGATTAAAAATTCAATTTTAGCGTGAGCTGCTCGATGGCGAAGGTCCAATTTGTCTCATTCTGGCACCTGCAAGAGAACTCGCTATTCAGGTAAAAGAAATTATTTGTTATGTTGATATAGAATGTTTTAACCATGTATTGATGTGGTTACCATGCACATTAGGTTTATGTTAGTGTCGCTGAAATACAACATATGATGATTTGTCTTTCCACTGCGCATTGCAGCCGCTCCGCAGAGTGATAAAACTCCCTACCTTTCGTGCTTAGGTGTATAAGCCCTAAGTATACAGAATTCATTTGGGGAAACAAGGTATAGATCAAGATACACGACCGAAAGTAAGCAATATTTTAGACAAAGCAAGTTATCAACTGTAGTACAACTACAGCGGCAACTAGTTTATTGACGCAATAGGATATGCTCTTTGAGACTCTATTCCGTTTGTTAACTGGCTTTATGTGTTGGGGATAATGCCGAAAACAGCACAAAACACGGCTTATCTGTATAAAACGTTTTTTTAATGGGACGATTGACTGGCACCAATATTTCGCTGTGTCTCATGTGCTTTCTTCAAGGTAGAATGCGTTGATTGATGATTTCGGTTCTTTCTGCTGTTCGCAGCTACTGTAGTGTTTGGAGCCAGAAGGCCAGTTTTCAGTCTGTGCTGCTCGTTAAATAATTTCTGAGCTAGAAGGGCGACACTTTTCCTCCAATCCTCGCCAGGTTCACATCCTTTATGCCTGTTGACGTTGTCGCAGTACTGGATGATTAATACTAATTTACACGTCTGTTCAATACATTTCTTTCTTTGATGAGGCTGGTGCCGTATGATTTATGATTTAAAGTATTATTTATGGCGTCATTGCTTATTAATCTTCATCATTTTTTGTCAATCCACTGCTGCGTAAAGTTATTTACAAAACTTTATCATGTACTTATGTTTCCTGCGGTTTTCATCCATGTTGATCTAGCATCTTCAGCTCATGCTGCCATGGACAGGTCGTCCATCTACTTTGTTTTGGTACCCAGTCTAATGTCTCTTCGGTCCAGCCGTGGTAAGTTCTTTATGCAGCCTGCCCTGTTTATTACCACTTCAACTTCTTCATTCGTGCAAGGATATCGCAAACTCATTTTTATGCTCTTATTCACTTATTAGAGTTTCTGTCTTGTCATTCCCAACGTATATCTTTTTATGCTGTGTTGCGTAGGCTGCAGCTTGTGAACAGCTTTCAGGCTTAGGGTCCACATTTCACACAAAGGGGTTAGCCCTGGAAGAACACACCAACCGAACTCTGTTCGCTTCAACCACAATGGCAGTTCCCCAAAGAGGAAAATTTTCGGTCTTCCGTATCATTTTTATTCTTTTGTTCATTTCCCACAGTCAGTTCTCCGTAGAAAAGATGGGCTGCCCCAGGTTGACGTAGTTTCGCACCTATTCACGCCTAAGTCTACGGACTTCAGTTGGTCATGGGAGTCACGCTTTTGTTAAACTTTACCTGAGTCTTCGACAGGTTCATTTTCAGACCTGCCTTCATTCTGGCGTATTTCAGCTCTTGAGTTCGTCTGGAGTTCTGGGCGTTGAGAAAGTCAGAATGTCGTTCACCAGCCGCAGATTTGCTTGAGTAGTGCCCATTTATGTTCAACGTTGCGTTCATCCGGTTGACGGTGTTATTTGCGCTGTGTAAATAAACCCTGTATTTTTGCTTTTAGGTTCATCGTAGCTTTTCGTTTCTTATGTGACATTTACAAAAGACTGATAAAGGGAGACTGTATTTGTGTAGGGAATTAAGTTGGTAACTTATTTTTGGCTTTCAGTTATTCCCGACATTAGACTGCGCTATGACCGCATTCATTCGTTCTTGTTTCAGAGTTCGCTATTCATTTTGTATCGCGGAGAACAGCTACTTCAGAGATACTCACAAGTAGTGCCAGTTTTCCGCTAGATGATAAGTTCTGTAGTAGAGATTTCCAGGCATGACAACGCTAGGTCTCCTGATAGAGTCTGTGATGCTTTGCAGTTGATGTTCCGTTCGTTAAACTTTGTTATTGAATGGATATGCATAAGGATTCAATTTTTAGATCTATAACGAAGCGAAGAAGTTTGCAAAGGTCTATGATTTGCGGGTGGTATGCGCCTATGGAGGTGGTTCGAAATGGGAACAATCTAAGGCGTTGGAGGTTGGATCAGATATTGTAGTCGGAACACCGGTAAAAACTGGTTTTTTGTTAAGTTTAAGTCTGTTCGCTGTTCGCACTCTACCATAAATGTATTATTTAGTATAATCTTTGGTAGTAAGAGGCCAAAGGCAAATGCACAGTGCTGTTATGGCTTGAGTGAGTAATATTCTGTAATATGTTTAGGCAAGCATTTAACGTCCGTGTTTATGTCATGAAGAACGACCAACAAATAGAAGAAATTAGGGATGAATGGACAGACTGCATTTAATAGATGCAGTAAGCAATCATTTTAGGAAAATTCAATATCGTCTTTAAGGTTCAGTGCCAGAGATAGTTTTTTTGTGTGAATAAAATATTTAGAAGATTTGTAGTTCTTACAAAACAAAGCTAAACATTTTTAAAATCTTATCTGTCTACATATCGATAGGGCTACAGAGAACATTCGTTTGTTTAAGAATAGCCATTACATGGTGAAGCTGATGTTTCTGTTTTAGCCGTTATCCGACTTGGTTTCCTCATTATGGGTGCGTCTTTAACGCTAGACGACGCTTCTCCAAGCCCTCCCCGTTTTACACCCACTGTTGACCAAGTAATATTGCCATCGGATCATTCCAGAGTATGCAATGAATGCACGTATGGGAACGGTAGGATTGGCATATGTGGTTCAGCGGAACGGTTTGTAATTCTTGACGTCCTTCGGTTATCTCTCAAGCCCGCCACATGGTGTCTGTTATTCCAGTTCGTTGTCAAATTTGTTCGTTCGGAACTTGATCTCGAAAGGAAGTCTGGCAAATTTTCGTTTCGTCCCTCTCTGCGTGACCATTAATTTCTTCTTCTCGACTTTAGTAGCTTTAATAACATTCAGCGACGTAGATCATGGCGATTTCATTCCTTGCCCACATGGGCAGTTCGGTGTTGAGTAACGATGATTAAAAGTGGCATGGCGATTACGTTTCTGCCATACACATGAATGAAACTCATTTAAATTTATTGGTAAAGGAATCCATGTATATGACGTAAAGTAAGATGGAACTTTAATAAGTATTCTTTATCGCAGTTAGTGATTACAAATTTGTCGTCTTGCAGCAAAGTTGCTTTGATAGACAAAGTGATGTTCATAATCACAACCAAACTTCATGATCTGTTTCTTGTTAGCACGTGACATTAATATCTATTAATTTCTGTTTACTCGATGATCGTCTTGGTACTGCCGTAACGAAATGCTTCACAGTCAGCGTTAACGTCGCATTTGCTCTTCATATCATGATCGAGGAGTTAAAGGGTCGAAAGCAGTATAAGAGTAGAATCAAAGTAATTTGTTCTGCAATCACACAGAATGGCTTACAGTTGTTCAAGTCGATGAGATCGTATCAAATTCGTTATTATTTACATGAAAGGTCGAGGATCACAGGCGAAGTGGTCTTTTGAAAGGTACGTTTAACAGGTATTAAAAAGTTCACGCATTTTCACCTTAGTGTAAATCCGATATCTCGATTTATGACAATTTTTTGTCCTCTAATGGACTAATGATTGCTTTGGATATTTCTGGTTTAGGGTAGCAAAATTCTATAGGTCGTTCTGATTTCATAAATTTCCCAATATATATTCCTTAGTGACGCAGGGTTGACATTCCGCTATGGCTCGAATGTTTTTCAACTGTTGGTAATTTCCTTGAGCGAGGCAAACGCAAGGTTGTACCCGGTTAAGAAACTGGAGTGATTGTCGTGCCATCATAGCTTGCGAACAATGTTTTACATTTTGTTTTTGCACTGTTCGCGCTATTTTTGATTTTGTGTACTTTGTTTCAGTTACTAAAAAGGATGATGTTCTTTAATATTATATTTAAAATTAAATCCTTAATGCTTATTTCATTTCTAGGGACGTATTATTGACATGGTGAACATGGAGGCAATGGATTTGAATCGTGTCACTTATCTTGTTTTGGACGAGGCGGACAGAATGTTTGACATGGGATTCGGTTTGTTGTTAATGCGTACTGTTGGAAACTTTGAATGAGTGGTTTTGTGTTTAAGAGCCACAGGTACGATCAATTGCTGATCACGTTAGACCTGACCGTCAGTGTATGCTGTTCAGCGCGACGTTCAAAAAGAAGATCGAACATCTTGCGCGCGACGTATTGACCAATCCGGTGAAGGTTATTCAGGGAGAACTGGGCGAGGTGAGTGTGAGCCATTGCTGCACTTATGTTATTACGTCCAGTCCTTTATACTTTGCAAAAGTACTCAATACATTTACTGGTGAAAACTAAATATTTTGAATTCATTCACTGAAAGCCTTGGTGTACGTAAGGAATTATGAGGTCGTTCGTTTTAAAAGCTAGAAATGAAGTCTTTCTTTAACAGAGGTTCGACTGTTCGACCGAATGTGCATTCGTCGTCACAAAGAAATAATTTTTCTGGGTGATGACCAGTTCTAGTTCGGTTGAAAAGTCAGATCTATGCTAAATAAGGAATTTATTTTTTATCGCTCTGGGTGCAAAATGTGGAATCAGATGAGGTATCTGCTTCTAGTCATATGGAGTATAACGCGCTTAAGCTTTCTTTGGTTTTTGACTTGGCAAAGCCTTTTATCTTTTGAACTTCGACAATTGACATAATCTGAAGTTCACACTTAAACAACTTACGTAAGTCCAAATTTTTTCATTGCATGACCCCTTTTGCAGGAATTGTCGTTTTGCATTGCAGTGAATGTGTGTTATCTTTGGTGCCTTTTAAATTATTTAACAAGGGCTACGATTTGTGTGCCACTTAAGTGATGAAGGCATGATTATATTTTGTCACTATAGGCTAACGAAGACATCGAACAAGAAGTCATTGTGCTGCCGTCCGGTCCGTCAAAGTATGCATGGCTTCTTGAGCGGCTAGTGAGCTTCTGCACACGTACGCACAGCATGCCATTGATGGTCGAATCGCAGTTTTGATGTTCTTATGATTTCAGTTGGTAAAGTGCTCATCTTCGTGAACCAAAAGCAGCATGTCGAAGAGCTAGCCAATAATTTGAAAGCGAAGGACTTCAGCGTCTGCGTTCTGCATGGCGACATGTTGCAACACGAAAGAAACGAAGTCAACCACGCGTTCAGAAAAAACGTACCAATTCTCGTTGCGACTGATGTTGCTGGTATGCGGCGCAGATATCTCTGTTACTGTGTTATGAATCGTTCCATGCACAAAATGTCTGTAAAATGTCAATTTTCAAGACAACCTTCTGACCACTAAACTATTCAGTATAATAGGACGTCGATGAAATATTCAATCCATAAAGCATTTAATCTAAGGATTTGGAAGGCAGTAGTTTTCTTTTTGTTTTATTTTAGATATATTAAGTAATTAGAGCATAATCTTTCCACAGTCAAATTTTTCATCATTTTCTACTGCTCTCGTGCTTAAATTTTAAATGCCTCCAGAAAATTTTAGGAAGCAGCAATTTCATAGTGATTGAATACTTTTAATGCAATATGCATCTCACATCATTTTATTAGTTATAGCTGTATGGAAATTTCTCGGTCATGAAAACAACAAAGAAAGCAGTAGTAAGTCCGTACCTGCAGATAATGTTTAGATACAGTGTGTATTTTCTGCTGTTTTCGCCTTGATCCCCTTCGATTCGTCAGTCAGTTAAATCAGCTGAAAGTGTAGCCGTAAATAAATATGGAATCAGTAAACTATTATGTCTTTCCCTATTATATTTGTTTACGACAGTCCTTAGATATTTCGTTCCATTTTACGCTTAAAATTGTAGCTCGTGGCTTGGATATTCTTGCGATTAAAACAGTTGTAAACTACGATGCTGCTAAAGATTTGGATACTCACATCCATCGAATCGGTAGAACCGGACGTGCTGGTAATCTTCCTTACATATTCTTAAGGCTGTAATTAATTACTGTTAATTGGTTTAGGTGAAAAGGGTTGGGCTTATACTTTATTAACAGAAAAAGACAAAGAATTTGCCGGCCATCTGGTTAAGAACCTAAACAGCCTTAATCAAGAGGTGCCGCCCAAATTGCTAGAATTGGCCCTTCAGGTTGGTTACAGAGTTTCAAAATTTTTAATGGCTTCAATTAGTTTTCTGTATGTATTAAAATTTAGTTTGATTAAATAGGGTGCAACCAGTTGGTTTGCCAGACGGCAAAACTTCACGGCCTTCCAGTTTTTCTCTTATGGTCGTGCTCCAGTTTGAAGTTGGTTATTTTTATTCGTTGTTGGTGTCATACCTTGCAGCACCAATTTCGCTTTAAGGCTTAAGGGAAGTTGCCGGCCCATGATGTTGTTTAAACAGTTTCTTGGCGACATGCGACAAGGTTAATTCGACCTGTGCTGATTTATGGTCCTGTTTTACAGAACTGTATCATAATTGCCTCGTTCACGGATTTCTTAAGAAGTTTTATTCCCAGGCGCCCCAAAACACTCCGATCAAATAGAATGCTTTGAATATTGAGCGGCCGCTGAATTTTTTTCGAGTTGGTAGAAAATAGAAATTCCCTGACCGAGGCACTTCTTTCGAGCATTACATCAGTGTACACCCATCGATTGCTTGAATTTCACTGTTAGAGTAGCGATATGTTCTCTTTTTTCTGTCAAATTTTTGAATTGCATGTTGATTTTTAATCCCATGCTAAGACGTGTTTCTTTTCACAGTTTCCTGAGCAGTTGTTAAGATTTCAACAGACTTAACTTTTATCTATTTTGCTACTGATCTCTTTAATTAATGTGCTCTTAATTTTGTTCTTGGCTGTTTTAGTAAGATAGATTTGAATAGCATTATGTGCAAGATTCAGATTGGACTTCCGCATCTTCACAAAAATGAAGTCAGAGGATTTGAAGAAATACAGGCTAACCAGTTTGTTACAAATCGCCTACAAGATGTTCACGAAAGTACTGCGAACAGGCTTCAAGAAAAACTAAACGCTGCAAACTCAAAGAAGCAAGCGGGATTCAGAAGTGGATTTTGTACCATGGATCATTTCCACGTGGTATTACAAGTAATCCAGACAAGCAACGAATATTATCTTCCTTTCTGCCTTAGGTTCGTCGATTTCCAAAAGAGCTTCAGATCAGTGTACATCCGGGTTCCTCAATGAGTTAAGGAATCGAGAAAGATACATGAATCTTATCGCCCTGATTTACAAGAATGCAACCGCTAGTGTGAAGCTTCCCAGATGCACAAGCAAATTCATAATCGAAAGGGATGTCTCAGATGGGGAGTCGCAAAGATGAGAGAAAGAAGTTATTCGCAGCAGTTTTAAAAGGATTTTCATTGTACTTCTTTTTAAAAAATGAGAGACTGCACATTAATGAGCACTACTTAAGCCATCCGCGGTTTCGCGGACTACCTTCTGACCTTCTCAAGGTAATCATAAGAACTCCAAATAGGAATTCAAGAGCTGAACAACGTCATCATGAAAGTAGGACTGAAAATGAATCTGAAGAAGACTCAGTTCATGTTTAGCAAATAACTGTACAGATTTAGGCTTAAAAAAATGTAAGACTACGTCAATGTTCGATAAATAGACTCAGCTCGAAAATGGGAAACCGGGTATATAAAGTCAGCAGAAGAATAGAAATAGCATGACGCGCTTGCGGAAGGCTGAAAATGTTTCTCTCTGGGATATTCCTCTTGTGCTTGAAACGGAATGCATTCCATCAGTTTGTGAGCTCAGTTCTAATATGTGACTGTGAACGTGGATCCTAAGCCTGAAAGCTATTCATAGTCTATGGGTTGTAGAATACGTAACACAACATGGAAAAGCCTGTGTTGGAAATAAAAACTGGATGATAAACAAATGGATATGAGCAGAAATAGTAGCTGCAATGTCGCTGCCCACTGAAGTTAAATTGGCAATGGGCAAGGCACGTTGCGCGAAGAACTGACCATAGCTGGACCAGGAGCGACTCCAGAGTGAATTCCAGGAGAAAGTAGATGGCATGTAAGAAGTCGTTCAAGTCGGCAGTGCAGTGATTTAAAGAAGTTAATTGGATCCAGGTGGATGATTCTTGGATCCCCGTAGTTTAGGAACAAGGGAAGTAGTGCAATGCGCCGTGAAATCTGGTATTGGAGGAGTCATTCGTTATTTTATATACTCGCGTGTTGGAAATACTTGATGTTTATAAGCTACATGTTCTGGAAATGTGTAATCAATGTTAGAAATACTAAAGAAGGTCTATCTGCGTGGTTGCGCTGTATTGAGGCTCTTTGAGGCTATGTTGAGATCCGTGATAAAATGTTAACATCAAAATCATGCAGTGATTCATTGTTCAAGTACATTTCAAAATTGCAGGGTAATTTTCATTGTTTACATTTTTTCTTTGCTGAATTTTGAAACATTTTGCGT